GAATCAAAGGTCAAATTTCATGGTTGGACAGTTTGTTAAACGTTGACATGGGCAGGGCATAAACACTTCCCTTCAGTGACTGGCCTGAGACGGAAAGACTATATATATATATACAGTCTTTTCTTTGTTGAATTGTTCAGTGTATTCTGTTCACCCCATGAAAGTAATCACCGTTATGACCTGCCCGTTGTTTCCTCCTTTGCAAGCTCCACCGCAGGAAAGCCCAATTCACAAAATCAAACACTTGAGGACTTGAGGCGTCACTTCTCAACGAACTCTTTTGTCTTCTTTCATTCGGCCCGCTTTTGACTTCCTCGATTTTGTGGCAAAACCCCTGAAGGCCTGTATCCTGTGTAGATCCTCTATGCACTTCATTCTGCAAAGCAAAACTTTGAGATGCCAAAGAAACCATCTACTGCAGGTATGTTCCGTCTACCCTAAAGAATTGACATTTCAAAGAACATCATCAAGGCTGCCCGGAGCATGTTATCCTCACTAAGCTGCTTTAGAACTGCATGAATCCAGGTCATTCAGACAAGGTGCCTAATGCCTAACCCAATATACCCTCCTCTGCAGCATACCCAGCCACTGATGTTTATACAGCAGTATATTTGGCGTATATTTATAACCCTTACTGTAGGTTTTTCTTTTCAATCAACACGCAAGACCTGCTCCAACAGCTGCAAGGCTCTGGCTGATCCGTTGAGAGATGCTTTGTCTCGTGGATTCAGTGACATTCAGTGTCCTCCAAAGCGGAGAATCAGCGCCTGGAAGACGCAAAGCACGGTTCAATCATCACACCACGACTGGATGGTGGTTTAAAGCGATTCCCCCAAACAAAGTCAACTGGGGTAGTCATTCCCAGATAGGGTTGAACAGTAATAGTTATATAAATGACAGCTCCTGCTAGCTCCTTCCCTGCGAATCGGTGAACAGTTTGCTCCCGGTGGTCCATCGTCCCGAACTTTCCTTCCGTGTATCAATGACGTGGGAGAAAAGGCGATTATCTAGCTTGTATCCTTCAGTGTCGCAACGTAACATGAGATGATTCACTTGGAGAATCATTCAGATTGCCCAGTGGAAGTCAGGGACACCCAAAGAGGGTGTGGCAAGCGAAGACCTCAACAAACAAAGAACAGCACATGAACACCTATCCATGTTCTAGAGATTTGCGACTTGCTTCTGGTATCTTCTGGTGGTGACCGCTCCTCAAATCCTCAGTTCCTCTACCTGGCTTTTTCGGGTGACTGACAAAGCATCCTCTGTAGACTCTCTTCGCCTGGGATCAAGTAGTCGCTTCCGTTTGCACGCGCAGGGTGCAAGTCATGATCCATCAGGATGTGCGTCAAACGCTCTTGGTGTTCCGTCTCGGCCCCGATCCTCAGACGTCTGCAGCTTCAAAGACAGCAGACGGGACAGGGTCCACCCACTGAAAATGCAATCAAACATCAAATCTTACAGGAAATAGCAGGAAATGCTGAATTTTGCATCCATTTCTACGCCTCTCACCCACAAACACCACGGACCCAAGCGTCATTTGTCGGATATCCAACAGCGCCGCCACTCGCGCACCGTCGTACCACACATCACGGGGGATGTTGGCCTTTGTCCACGTGGGGACGGCGGGGACCGTGTTCAGCCGCCAGGGAAAAGCTTCGCCGTCCTTCGCCGAGGAAGGCCCACCGGTGTCAACGGGTTCGAGTCGACGGTGTGGGTGGTTCGAACACGGTGCCATCTGTGGCTGCCTACCGCCTACAGCGACACTTACTTGGTTGAACTTGATAGCAAGAGAAGCTGAAGTGGGCCATAGAATCGACTCTTCAGCTGTTCAGCTCACGATCAAATTACATCAAAGTCTGTAAATGGATTGTTAGCCATGTAGCCACATGTTGCAGAATCGAACGCAAAGCCCCTCGAGTGGCAAAGACTTCCAAAACTGCGGTGATCGGTGATCAGGGTGATTTCGCAAGAAACCGAGCGCTGTAGTACTTCTTGGGTGCGAAAAAAAAATGGGGACCGCCCAGATCGGGCGAGAGTGAGAAAATGGTAGTTGGATGTAGTTTTCCCTTTTTTTTTCAGGGAAAGTGGCAGTACTGATCATTCCATCAAGACTGGAAAACTCGGGGCGCACCGATTGTTGGGCAAGATCAACACCATGCAGGTGAGAAGGAACGGGCCCCAAAAATGGCCTGAATCTACCTTTGCTTGGAAAGACTTATGGCGGTAGCTCATGCTGACATGAGCAATCCCTATTCGCACCCCAAAACATGAACGACTCTTGCTTTACTAGTCACATGTGCCAAGCATCTTTGGCATCATAGGCCCAATCGTAGGGTTGATAACACTGCTCTTGGCTGCGACTCCAAACCTGCCGGCAAACCACCCCAAAATGAGTTGGATATGAGAGGGATCCAGGCAAGTTTGTTTGTTTTTATAGCACTTTATGCTTGAATGAGCACATTGAAATGAGATGAAATGAGCATGTATGTTAGTTATTGTCTCTTTGTAGCGAAGGAAGCTTCAGGTTTTCATGGGGCATTGTTGGCGCACTGTAGATATGGGGCATTGCTTTCCACATGTCATGGGCTCATTTGATGGGTCTCTTCTTCGAGGTACATCACCCATACGTCGCCTCCAGACCAAAGTGCCAATCACCCATCCCCACACATCACTCCATACCGATTTGGCATCAGTCTTCAGTCTTCAGTATCAAAAAACAAACACACTCAACACTCAAAACCCTTCAAAACCTCAAAAAGCACACATTGCATCCAAAAACGCTGCAAGGCTCCATAAAGTGCTCAAACCCTAGGTTCGCCAAGAAACAAGTGCTACAAATGAAGGTTCAGGAACATCTCTAAGCCATAAATGCAATTAATAATTACATACATGCTTTGATGAACATATCCTAATCCTATATCCTATATACATCTAAAGCCCACAACTAATCACAACCAGTTCAAGCATTTCCGTGATTGGCCCAGGGCACGCTGCGCCGACCATCTTCGATGACCCAAACCAAACGCTGATTCTCGACATCCGCATATTCGAGGTGTGCCTGTCCTTGGTTTTCTCGATAGTTCCCGACCTCTTGATTTCTTTTTTCGTCTAACTTGACCAGGAGGGTGCAATTTGAGCAGCAAACAAGTCATTTAACTTCGATAAATCTATGCGAAAAATGCCCTAAAAACATGGATGCATATTTCGCAACAATTTATATGTATAGATTTGTACAGAGTAATACATATATAGGTCAACAAGCAAGTTCTATTCCAATCACGAAACCGAGGCCTTATCCAGCAAGTTCTGTGAAGAGGTGTACCATACCAGGTTTTGGCCAGTTTCTTGCTCCAGTCCCAGCCCTAATACAGTCCGGGTCTCCGATGCGCCAGCTCGTGTCACTCGAGCTGTGCTTCTCAATCCGCAGGACGCGACCCTTGTTGTTGCCGGGGACCACCGGCGTTAGCATAGCGACCAAGGATTCATCCTCGAGGCTGTCGCCTGAGACGACCGAAAGCGACAGTGAATAACTGAAACTGCCGAGACCTTTGGCGGTTTGAGAGTAACACCAGTTGGACTAGAAGCCATTCAAATGCACCACAACCCTATCACAAACACAAACTAAGGTCTTTGCCACTGCCACACCAATCTGGTTGATTTTACCATTTTTGCTGCCAGGGCCGTCCTTCGGCCTCTTGAACTTGTTTATCTCCCGCTGGTGTTCACTCGTCAGCAAAATACCTGCCTATAACCACGTTCTTCTAATTGAGTGTGGGGTGTCCGTGGAATATGAAGCAATATATGATTCTGATGCACACATAATAAATACTCTATGTTGAATGCACTCCTTTGTACATAATTATAGCATATCATATGTATATATATATACACACTACTATAACTAACTATATTTATACTATATTCCATTACTGTATATTTCTTGGCTTTAGCTGGCCCTGTCAGGAAGCTTACAGCAAAGCACTCCATCAAAGCCACATCAACACAGTATGACCCCTCTGCGTTATGGAAGAAAGCAAACGGAATGCTCCACATCTGGATCAAATCTGTTCCAAGTTGCTCACCAAAATGGAATGACCGATGGAATCCAGCCAATGACCCAGTAGATTCATCGATGCGTCCGCCCATCCCGCCGCCACCATGTCGAGAATTCTCCAAGTTTGGTCTCCCGCATCATGGCATGTTTCTGGCCATTGCTCGTGGGGATGGCTGAAGTTGGGCCGAAAGTTGTTGAGGCGCTCTCTTGAGACCCGAGACGGCCCCCACCATGGGGGCCAAGGCTTTAAAGCCGCTGAAACTGAAATCACAAAGAAATCACCGCTGAAACCGAACCTGTTGGACCGAAAAGGACTGGATCTTTGACTGATTTGTCTCGTCTTCTTGAATGTGATTGTGCGGGTTTAGAAGCTATACCTCCTCGCAAAATGGTCTTATAAGCCAAATTGGAGGCAAAATTGCCTCAACTGTCTGGGCAAGAAATGACACCTACAAAATGTTTCCAAGACCAGTTTTTCAGCACCTCAGCCTCAGTAGGTAAGCTCGATCGCCAGTTGCATGGACAGTTTTTCCTACGAACCGGTACAACTCACCCCGTTCGAAGTCGATCAATCCGATATGTCTCCAGAACTAACCTCCAACCGGATCCCCCCCTGGTGTTTTTCAGACTTTGGCACCTTTAATTGCCATTCTTGTTGGCTGCCTAGAGCGGAGGATTTATCGAAGGACTGAACACGATCTATCAGTCGGTCTGCCAACCATCAGTTGTTGACTGCTGACCTCGAGGCGAGCTTGTACTTCTAGCCTGAAAAAGAGCGTGAGTTGCTATACCAAACGCAGTCTGTGGTTGGATGGCTTGCGAATGCTTGTGGAAATGTGAGAGCTTTCAACTCGGATGGCTTTTGGGGAAGGTTTAGTAGACCTTAGGTATAGGATCTTCCCATGAGGGAATCTTCCCCAGTTCTCCCGACAAAAGCGGAACAGGCCTCCGAAGCCTGAGCGTCCAGGCGCCACAGCAAGGCCTCGCCATGGCCGCCATGTTCGCTTGTGTAAGTATATACATCAGGTATCCTCCGACTCACTAAAATGGAAGTGGAAATAAATAGAAACGGTCCTTTGGAAATCTTTGGAAAAGGCCGGGAGAGAACACCACTTCCATGTTCGGGGCCTTAAACCAGGTCCTGCGGTCATAGAAATCAGGGTCCTGCGGCTTGCTTAACGAATTAATTAACAATCAGCTGGTCCCCTAGGTCCCCTGGTCATCATCATAGTAGTAGTAGTAGTGGTGGTGGTGGTGGTAGTAGTAGCAGGAGTAGTAGTAGTCGTCGTAGTCGTAGTCGTAGTAGTTGTAGTAGTTGTAGTCGTCGTAGTAGTCGTAGTCGTAGTCGTAGTCGTAGTCGTAGTCGTAGTCGTCGTCGTGGTGGTGGTGGGTGGTGGGTGGTGGGTGGGTGGGTGGGTGGGTGGGTGGTGGTAGGAGCACACACGTGGCTCCCAAACGGAACTCTACCTTGGAATGGCCTTTTCCTCCTGCAAGTTTCCGCTCGGGTGGCTCACAAGAGGTATCTGGCACCTTCCTTCTCTAGATTTTAGCCTCGGATGACTGACAAAAGGTATGCTAGATTCTTCTTTGGGGGTGGCTGACAAAACGTGTGCTACCTTGGTGTGTGCCTCCTTTCTCCTCCAAATTTTACCCCCGGATTGCGCACAAAAGTATGCAACACGGCAAGGGCCCCTTTCTCGTCTACATCCGTTTTTCTAACAAAAGGTATGCTATGGTATGCTACTTTGGAAGGACCAAAGACCAAAGACAAGGAGGGGACCAAAGGACGAAATGCCCAGGGGAACAGAGGACCAAAGGACCGAGGGACCAAGGGACTGGGACCAAGGGACCAGGAGGGACCAGGACCAGGGGACCAAGGGACCAGGCAACCCAGAGACCAGGCCAGGGGACCAGCTGATTATATAGATAATGTGTTTTTTGTTTTAGTGATCCCTATGCCCTATGCCCTGCAACAAGATTTGATAGTCAATGGGAAAGCTACATATCTACTAGTAACAAGGGCATCGCTACTAGTAGCTCCTGGCATTACTACTAGTAGCAAGGATGCTACTAGTAGCAAGGTGCCTTACCACTAGGAACAAGAAGCGATTTGGCAAATTCCAATCATTTGACGTGGCCACTGGAGTTTCCCACACCAAGCTGTACCGGACTCTTTGATGCTGACAAGGTGCCGAGAGCAAGGGCTGGTCCTCCGATCATGAGCACAAGGCAGCAAAAATCCAACACAATGTACACAATGTGCTGTTGTCAACTGATGTTTGAATTTGAAGGCAAACTTTGTACAGTAACATTTTTTTCCTCGCTCGTTCGTCCGAGGGGGAACATGCAATGTGTCTTCACCATGCCCCAAACCAACGACCCACATCCAAATGAACAGTCACACAAAGTGCCAACAACGCCAAGTAAAAATCAGGACGCAAACCCTTTCCTGCATACTGAAAAAAGTCTTGCTGAATTCCCATGAGAAAGTCTCTGCCAGTACATATCTGGGTTTCAGGCTTCAATGAAGAGTCGTCGATTCAAAGGAGAGGTAAACCGACCACGGTTCGCTTTTGCAGGAACAAGGACGCTACTAGGGGCTCCTGGCATCGCTACTAGGAGCAAGGACGCTACTAGGAGCTTTTGCATGCTTCTGCTCGATATCTGCCATCTTTTCTTGTGCTCCTCACATCCGCAACCGAATAGATCCAGTCGCAGCTAGGTTCTCAAGCTGATCTGGTTTGTGCTCTCAGCTGTCCACATGCAATATAGTGACCACAAGTTGGTTCTACAAGTGTTTGCCGCTGGATGGGCGCCCAATTCCAAAAAGAGACAGGGAGCCTGGGACACTGGAAAACAACAACATACAAAAACAAACTGCGCTACACCTGCAAAACCTAAGTGTTGAAGAAATGTAAACTATGTGAGCTCTGATTTGACTTTTTTTGAAAGCAGTCCTATGAACTTTGAACGTAATTGTATACATATATTGATCTACATTTCATATTGGTGGTGCAAGTGCAAGCTTCAAGCATCAACATGAGTTTCTCACGTGTCAAAGGGAATGCTTTGAGTATAGACCTACATGCTATGACAACGACAAACAGCAACAAAAGACGACAAACACAAACAACAACCACAACCACAGCCACAACCAACACGGAGCAGGCTTGTGGCGGAGTGGAGTTCCACGCCGGACATCGAGCAAGATTGAGTTCAACCCACCAAACGCCAATGATTTGATCGAGCCGTTTTGGGCCAAACGCCTTTGTCACGCAAAGTCGGTCGCTTGCTCGCGGGACCACGTCTGCTCCTGGACCTCTAAGACTACGGCAGCTTTCAAGAGTTCCTTGGCGAGTGGAGCACCATGAGAGCGAAAAGCTAAGTCCGGTGGTACAGCGGGTCCACTTGGAAGAGCTCCCCATGTCGTGCTTCAACAAGAAGCATGGAGGCAGGGTGATGAACGTAGTAACAAGTAGTAACACTTTATGCGGAGCAAAACTTCAAACAAACCTATTGAAGGAGTTTGGCCCACAGTTGTTTTCAGCCTCAGGGACAGGTTAACAAGCTGAACAAAACTGCTCATTGGATCTCATTGGCTCATCATCAGCGCATGTGGTTTTAGCGTCTAAACATCTGCATAGACTCAAGTTACCATGTTTCCTGTTGAGAAGCTTCTCGTCTTTGCAATCAGCTCTTTTCCGACCCACAGGTGTGTGCGGGTGTCCGGCTTCTTGGCCAACAGAAAGGTGACTGTACAATCGGCAAGCAGCTCAAGTCTGTACACTGAACATCAGCACTATAATCTGGAAGGCAGCCAAAGCCTTCACGTGCAAAAGCTGCAGCTGCCAAACAAAGGAGTCTATCTTCCACAGGATATTCTTGTAAAACCAACAGGAAGTAGCTCGTCATTCAACACGAGATTGGTCCCCGCCAAGAATTGGACTTTGTCTTCTTCTCTTGAAACCCTGTTGGAAGTCTGGAGCAAAACTGCCTGTCCTCCACCTCTGCCTCTTGCCGAACGCCTAGGACCGGGGCCCACGGCCACGGTGGTAGCGCTTCCTTTGAGACCGCTGGGCACAGCGTAGCAGCCATTGGCCAATGGCTGGCTCTTCCATGGGCTCCACGTCAATCGACACAAAGAAGTCCTGCCATGTGTGGATGTCGTGGAATCTTCGGCAAGCTTGCTGCAAGGCGCTGACGGTGGATTGCAAAGGCAAACCTTTGGTGCGCTCGTAGCGTTCAAGCAAACAGCTTGCTCGTCGACACATGCCCTCTCCATGATCGTGCGTGATGTGAGCTATGTGATGAAGAAACCACGCATGGAACATCAAGAGTTCACGTGATACTCTACCAGTCTCCCAAGTCTTCTCCATTCTTTCCTCCACGGGGGCATGATAGTCCGCCAAGAGAGGATACGCTTTGACCAGCCAAAGAACCCCACGGTTGAAGGTCTCTTCCAAGATGGGAACTGCGAGCTCATCCCAAGTAAGCTCATCGGAGACTGAGAGCAAACACATGAACTCCCCCAAATTTGGTATCTTTTCTTTGTGCCGCATGCCTTCATCTTCACGAAAGACCCTCAACTTCTTCTCAATGTCATCGCTCAAAGAGGTATAGCTTCTCTTGAGCAACAGCAAGGTGTGGTGGAAGGCCATGTACCCAGCAAGGGCCTTCTCAGAGGTATGCACATCACCTTTCATGAGCAACACGATCTGTGAGTTCATGAGCTTAGGCAAAACCTCCATCGCAGCCACCTGATCCAAGGGCAGGACCTGCTGCAAGGGTTTTGCCTCTGCCTTCAGGAGCGCTGCTTTGACTTTGGCTGCTGCCGCCTTGGCCCTCTCAGCCTTGGCCCTTGCCTCTCTTTTCTGCCACTCTTCCAAAGTCAAGCCCTGTCGTGCACGAGCTTCTCGTTGCTGCTTCTGTCTCTCAAAAAGTGCGGCTCTTTGCTCCTGCCACTCAGTGAAGGTCATTGTGGTAGGCTGGTCCTTGGCAGGATCACTTGGAGCCTCCCTGTGAGGCTGTCGCCCACTCGATCCCAAGCCATGGGACTTGGTCATTTCAGCCACCTTGCCAGTGCCCAGTTGAGAGACTGCAGCCAGGAGCCTCTCCAAGCCCCGCTCGAAGTGACTCTTGCAAATCGCCATGGGGATCCAATAGCTGATGGTCTGCTTCCATACTCCTTTGTCCACATGCAAATCGAAGAAGGCCTCTTTGGACAAGGGGTCAAAGTCACACGTGAGGTGCCGCTTTCCAGTGGATTCCTCAGTGATGGCCACACCTAGGCCCAGCAGTGTGTCAGCTTCGTGGAAGGCCGCCTTCGTGTGGAAGCACCGCAGCTGATTCAAGTCGAAGTAGATGGAGATGGACTCCTCCGCTGGCTGCCTCCATCCTCGGCTCACACGCGCCAAGGACCTCAAGGTTCCCAGGGGCAGCATTTGGAGGAGGAGCTCCGAGGCTGGGCCTGGAAGGTCCTGGCACAAGCGAGGTGGCAGCAACGGCATACACTGACCTGAGGCCCGGTGGGCACGTAGAAAGGGTCCACTCCGAGCAGTGAGCCGCAAGCCTTTTGGAGAGTCCACCTCCAAAATACGAACCAACACCAAACTCTTGACTTGAAAGGCATCTATGTCACCATCCATCTCGGAGACGTGAACAAGTCCAGGTGCTGGGCCACCAATGTCCACGAACATGCCATAGCTCTTGATGGAAACAATCACGCCAGCGACAGGTGTTGCAGCAGCCATGAGCTCTGTCAGCTTAGCATGCGAGCGCCTTGGGACCAGCTCCAAGCACAGCCACCTCTCGTCCACGGAGGTGACGTAGGCGGAGATCTCCTGCTGCACCAGGACGAAGCCACGCCGGCTCAGCCAGCCCCTGCGGCCGCGTGGGTTGGCCAACTCGAGGATGAAGCCTTTGGTACAGTCTTTCACCGCCACGCCTGAGACCAAGTCACCAACTACAGGGTCCTTCTCCAAGGTTGTCGAGAGCGGGCTAGCAAGCGGCATGGATGGTCCAGCTACTCCAGCGACTTCTGGACATGTGCAGCTGTCATCTCTGCAGCCTAACTCAGCCAGGGTCTGCTCTGGCGCATTGGCGAAGTCAGGCAGCGGAGGCCAAGGTTTTGAGAAGCAATGGCCACATTCCCGACAGTGGAATTTCTCACACTGGGCACGGACTTGTTCTGCCATCTTGGGGGTCATGTGAGACTTTTTGGTCCCTCCATAGTCCTGCGGCACGTGGTCCGTTTCAAAAAGAAAGGACGCCAACTGCAGCAGCACGGTCTGGATGGTGTAGGCAGTGCTCCAGCCACTCCGGTCATGACGTATGCCAATAAAGCTCTGCAAAATGTCCAAGCAAATCATGCTCCCGAAGAGATTGGGATGTCGGAAGGCCGAAATTTGATGCGGAAATCGCACATTTGGTGGACTGAAGGGATAGTCACGCGGTAGATACATCACCAAATGAAAAATGCTGCCCTTCAGTGGGCCCACCCTGGGCCGCAGGTTCACATGCCATTGGAAAGGGTCATTGAGATCCAATGGACTGGCTGAAACCAGCTCCAAGGGCTCGGCCTCCAACTCCTGAAGATCCCGGGTGATGCGCCGCAGCGCGGCCGCATGGCGTGCTCTGACACTAGAAGAGCTCATCGTGAGAGGATCGGATATCGTTCCGCACTGAGGCTTCAGGCTTGAACCAAAAAACAACACTAAGCACTTAGAAAAAGTCCGGCCATGGCAATACACTATTCAATATAGTAAAGTGCAAATGATTTGTGTGTCCCCAAAGCACTGCAAACACCCAGTAAAAGCGCTCCCATGGAAATCATGGAAACCTTCTCCAGGTCTTTCTTCTCTGCCCAGGTGCTGCCTGCGCCTGCATGCTCAAATCAGCGAGCCGAGGCCCGGCCACCTCGACCACCGGCCACAAGTCTGAGGGCCTCAGCAAACCTCAGAACCAAAGACCCGAAGGGGAAGCCGAGATGAAAAGGTTTGAACAAGCAATAATGTGATGAATCTCAAACCTTAGCGGTCTCCAGTATAGATATGGAGAATGACTTGGTTGGATATAAAAGAACACGTATTATCTATATATATATATTTGGATGGATATACAAAAACCAGAATCACAATATCGAGAATCACAACTATAGGCTATACTATAGGAGATTCACTAACATGTTGCACCGAAGAATGTGACGATGGATCTCAAAAATGTCCGAACTCTTTGATTCAATTTAACTTAGGGTCCTTCTCGTTGAACTCAACCGTGCTCTTGGTCATTCACTGGCCTCTTGACTCTTGACTACAATTTCTTTTGGCAAGGCTCACCTACTGTAAGCCAGCCACTGCGCAAATGATCACCCATATCTCAGCACGTGCCAACCGAAAGCTCAGCCGAGCGACCCGCCTTGGCCAAGGCCCCAGACGCTCGGCAAAGCAGCTCGATGTTCTTCAGCACTTTCCGCCCTTGGCCGTAAATAGGGCCCGTGAGAACTCATCGGGCGTTTGCGGTGAAAAGGCACCGGTCAGCCAACAAAAACGGAGCTGAGAACTGGAGGAGAACTTGAGAATCATGTCACATTCTTCCACCGAACGATGCCACTCCTATAACCACCTAACTAAAGAGACGAGCAATGCGATGCACACACACATATTTTTATCATATATACACATCCGACTGGATATTTCCCAGCAAGTCTTTTGGTGACATTGCTGCAAGGATGGCCTTTGGGCATCAAACCGAGCAACGGTCTGGACCCTCCGGCCCAGCATCTCTATCAGGAAGTGGGGAAAAAAGACTACGACGTGTGGCTCTTCCCCCATGCACTTCTGAAAAAAAATGCATGTGCAGTATCTCCGTGAAATTCGCGCGCTTGCGCACCACAGAAAGCTCGCAAAGTCAAAGACTCAAAGATATGCCAACATATTCCTAGCGTTGACTCATAAATTAATTGAAATATGTCGTATCTTATCCAGACTTACCCGTGCGCATGACCTGTTCCATGTGCCGGCTTTCTTGACCTCAACATGGCTTTGAAGGTCGATGGACGAGTCGCGTTGATCACCGATCTGGAGCCGACAATGTGGTCTTATGACTAGCGTGAAAAGCTCCCTGCGGCAGGTACATCACCAGTACATCATGTTTTCAAATATGCTTTCATAATATGTTTTCCATGCGTGTTCAGGATAAAATTGTGACATTGTGACCTGAACATGTCTGAACTCTTCGGAATTTCTTGAAGACACTGATGCATACAAACTTTGATTTACAGCAATCCTGGCAATCCTTATACTAACATATAAAGCATGAAGATCTCGTGGCTGCTAGAATGTCAAACTCAGCCGGAACACTAAAATTGTCACCTTCCAGTGACCTTCCAGCTGTTCAGCTCCCCATCGGACCCAACCAGTCGTTGCCCAAGACACGGCTCAAGATCCGCACCAGCTCTGCCGCGCGTGCACACGGTTCCTCACCGCAACCGGAGAACGCTCGTGCCATGGAGAAGGCGAGGCCGCAAAGCAGGAGCGGCTCCAGTTCGCCCAAACGACCCTGGTCGCTCACGTCGTCGTGAGCGATGTCGACCGAGCCGACACAACGGGTCACCGAGCCGACACAAATGAAACGCTAAAGTCCTGCAGTCAGTTCAGGGCAGAGAAGGATGCTCGAGGCAAGTGGTCTGCAGAAGTCTGTGTTCCTTGGCCTCTCCCTTAATCAGCAAAGGTACAAAAGCGGAGGTGAATCAAACTATTCTTAATGGGGGTTCCATTTTTCTCAATCTGCACAAAACCTGCTAAAGGTTAGGGATCATGAGGGATCTCCATGCAAACATTGACTCCAAGATGAACAAAAAGAAAGCAGTATATAGCTGCATACTGGGACAAGCACTGAACTCATTTTTGGGCAGGTGTTCACCTTCCCGTCCTCGAGGTATGGCCATAGCCTTTGGAAGCTCCGCACCCCTCCGCGCCCCAGCCGCCGCAGTGCCACAAGGGCACGTGCTGCGGCGTCGGCGCTGGGGTGCGACGTCGGCGGTCGGTGGAGTTGAGGTTCCAGGAGCCGGAGGACCTCGTGGGATCTGCGGTGCGACCTCGTAGGACCTCGTGGTTCCCGGAGGTTCGAAGAGGTTCGATCCGGGGGAAAGCTTGACTTCTTTTCAGCCTCATCATAGGTGTAAGATGGTGCAAGCTTTTGAAGAAAGGATGACGGCCCGGCTTCAACTTGAGCAATTATATAGTGAGTTTATGTAATTTATGCATCGTTGACAACCAGCATAAAGTGGCATCAATTGGCATGGCATAGCAATGCATGGCAGTATGACATTGAAGCATCAACGCTCACCATACCAAGGCCCGGCAAACCACTTGACCGAACATACCGAACGCAGTGGTCACAATGCCTCCTCTGTTCCGACGCAGTGGTCGCAGCGCTGGCCACGCAGTGCATAGGCCATCAAGACCTCAGCGAGGGCCTTGAAGTCAAGCGAGCCGGGCTCGCGCTGTAAGAGCTGTGGAAAGCCATCGCGCCAGAACCTGCACAAAGCAACATGTCATGATCGTTCTGGACAGGGATGTCTTCCATCGGGTGTGGAGAATTGAGAGCTTTGGTTCACTGAAATCAATATGGGACGAACCCGAAGGCATAAGACCATGGAAAATCCCTAGAATGGCTGGCCTATTGATCCACCTAAAGACCCTTCTGAGCTTGTATGTTCCCCAAGTCAGGCCCACCCCACAACATTGGCGCTATTGGATGTGCCATGGCCCGACCCAACTCTCATGGCTCACTGGTTCGAAGCCCCGACGATAGACCTGCGGGTCCTGATGGGTCCCGGGTTGTTGGGCAAGTTGCACTTCTCTCACTCCGAAACATGAACATCTTGGTGAAAGTGAGTCAAAACATATTGGTGGTGAATCAAAACCTCCCAAATTTCGCTTCCGTGGGCTCTTCTTTTTGTGGAAAGGATGCGGTGACACAGCTGGATCACCTTGCATCACAGAGAGCGATGCGGAACTACTTTCGGCATTGGCACGTCATTCAGGCGATCCCGGCAGTTGCAGAGAAGGGCCGCAAATCAAACGGCCAAAATTTCCCTGCCGGTGTCATCCCTGGATTCGAACTCTTTTTAGATCCTCCTGTGCTGTTGAAACTTGCATTGCTTTTTCATGGGGGGTGCAAGGACATCCTTTGCGGATGGAACCTTGCCCTTGACAATCTTTTCTGATTGTTTTTTTCCTCTTTGCCTTCATGTCTTCTTGCTCGCTCCAGAGTGGGCGAGGAGGTCAGCTAGCTTCGTCTTGACTCTGGCTGATATCGCGGCCCAAAACCCGGAGCCCCAATACATGGTAGGTGGACCATATCTCAGTAGTCAGTCCATATTCTATTCAGTTCTGTTCATTTTCCCTGGTCAACCTGGGTCAGTTTATCACTCCACTGTGCCACTGCGATGAAATCCTGGCGGAGGCAACCTCGTACTGTCTCAAGTCTGTCCGGATGTAGACATTTTGCTGAGTGAGGTGAGTGAGGGATCAAAAACGAAAACAAACACGACACACACACACAAAACAAAAACAACACACACTTCAAACTTTAGACGACCAAGTAAGAATCAAAACAAAACAAAACAAATCAACACAAACACGTCCGCTCCACAGTCTATGATACAAGGTAATCTCCTCGAATACATCGCAAAAAAGGATCAACACAAAACATGATTTAAAGCAACATAGAAAGCGCTCTCAGCAATGCAGCGCATCATTCCAAGGAATGGGCTGGCTTTGCTTGCCTTGCGGCTTAGCATTGTCTGTTGCCTTAGATGCGGAAGGAGAAGCAGAAGGATATCGAGAAAGACAAGAAGGATAAAAGAAGTGGAGAAGGAGCAATCAGAAAAAAGGAGAGTGGAAGATTTGGATAAGAGTGTGCTGCTTTTTGAGCTGCTTGTCTTTGGAGCGGCTTTGGGATCTTAGTGTTTGCAGTGCAAGTAGAGAGCACAGAACTGCGTGGAGCGCAGTGAGAGGAGAGAGGAGAGGAAGCATGACATTGAGCTGCTTATATGTTTACCTATTTATTGTTTGAGTTCATGAGTTTTCTTATTTCACGCCACGCCCATTCTTTGGGTTTTGCTTAAGGTACATTTCCTTGAGGGCTTCTTTGGGCTTGGGGCCTCCCTTCGTTAGGGTTCTTTGGGGGTTCACCGGGTTTCAATTCTTTACGGGTCCTTTGGGCTCGGCCTCGAATTTCGCTTCTTTAGGGTTTTGTTGGGCTTCGGGACACCGTGAGCAGCACAATTTGCAAAGCTGGCCAAGCCTAAGCTGTCCCTTCCTTCCTTCCTTCCTTCCTTCCCTCCCTCCCTCCCTTCTTTTTGATGCATTGTTGCTTCTTTTTAGATGCGTGTTTGCTGTTTTGTTGATGCTTTGTTGCTTTCTTTTGATTTGTATCTCATTTTGCTGTGGAGCCCCGTCTATCTATATATGTCTCTCTCTATAGAGTATTAACTATAGTATCATATTTGGGTGTCATTGATATGCTGAACATGGATAGATCGGATAGATATGGGAGAGCTTGCCACCTGAGGTAGTTACGAGCATTCACCCCCGCTGCGCATCTGTCCAGCCTTGCGTGGACCTTCAGCTGCCGTCGGCTGAGGAGCTGCGCTGCGCGGGCTACCGTTGCCACAGAGAAAGTCGATGAAGGGGAAGAGACCGCCCTGGGGCGGCGATGAAAAGGATGTATCGCCCAATCACCTTTGTGTTTAGCAACATAAACACCTTCCCTCCAAACAGATCCAAGTGGGCATTTCGCGCATTTCGTCCCTTGCAGGTGCCAAATGCTTGTGTCAAAGAGTGCTCTCTTTGTGTGGTGCCGTACTTGTGGTGGCGATGGTCATCGCCATCGTGCTCATCGTTTGAGGGTCCTACTGTGACTTTTTGCGGCAGGCGCAAGAGATCAACATCATCGTACCTCCAAGTGCAAACTTTGTGGTTCAGTAAGCGCAGCGCTCTGCTCCTACAAGACCTTTTACATCGCTTACATAAATTCTATGAATGAAGAGATTTCATGACCGTGCAAGAGAGAGATTCTACAAAATAATATTAAAAAAACAAATATATATATATATATCTATTTAAAGCAACACACACACACTTCTATGTCTATGTGTATGAATCCGCAACTCCCTTTGCCTTGGCATCCTTTGCCGGGATAACTTTTGGGCTTCCTGTTCCGGTCAATATTGCCGCTTGGAGAGACTATCTATCCCACTGTGGAAAAGTACCACTCACAGGTCCTTTTCCGAGTAACAGGTCAAAAAGGGAAGTGCAAAAGCTGTGGCAACTTGTGCTTCACATGTTTTCTCCACCCACAGGGCAACCCTCTTCGTCCCTGAAGGAACCCGTGTTCTCCACACCGTCAAGGTCTTCCAGCTTCTACCTCGACGAAATCGCACGGAGTGGCACCCAGGCCTGACCCATGCGGCATAGACGGGTGAGTCCACCCCCGCCTTGGCGCAGTTCAGCACCTCAGGCGCGCGCAGTTCCAACTCACCGCGTCGGTGGTTCCTCCCAGTAGGCGGCGAATCCAGTCGTCAGAACTGTTCTGAGGCAGGTTGGACGGGCCAAGGATGTCAGGAAGTTTGGAAGGTCTCTCAATCGGAAGTCTGTTTGGGATCCCGTTACGAGGGACGGTCGACGGCAAGCAGTGCCAGCTGCATAGTCTCCCGATGACTCAGTGTGTCAGGTGGTTAGATTGTGATGTATAGTATAGGTGCAAAGACGACTTTTCTGTGGAATCATTGGTTTGACGTCCTCCAAACCAATCTTGTGTCCAACCAGCAGCACTCTGATTCTGACTCAGCAAAATCATCCATAAGCGGGCCATAAGTTTGTGGACATCCCCCTTCAACAGTAGCGCGCCCAATAGTGACTAATAGTGATCAAACAATTTCTGCAACAAAATCCGTCCATTCATGTCCATTCCTGTAAAACCTCTCAGCAAACAAGCACCAAGGACAAACGTGCCGGTATGTCAAACATTGAGTTCCACGACATGTCCTTATATGTCCTTTACCACACAACAAACGAGCGCCATTCAAGATAAAACATTGTAAGGTTGGGCACAAATATCTGTACTCACTGTCAAGTATATATTTAAAACAGCTAGGTCATGTTAGGTCCAACTCGATGTATCTAACGTGTTCCAACTTCCTTGCACAACCCCTCTCACTTGGGATGTGGCGGTGCCATCCTCCGTCCCAGTGGCCACCTCCGTCGCGGCCTCGGCCTCGGCCTCGCGGATCGGAAGATGAGGGCTCAGCCTCCGCCGGGCGTCCGCCGCGTGGCGCCACCAAAGATAGCGGTCCAACTTGCCTCCGCTTGGCTCGAACGCCGGTGGAGATCGAGGAGGCGGAGGTCCACCTCCTTTCACCTCCTCCCTCCACCTCCACCTGGAAAGGAAACAGGTGTTTGTTGTTCTTGTCGGTTCCATGTTTTCGGAGGTGTGCTGCGTGTGGGAAACAGATCGAGACCCAACACGGTAGAAGAGGTCTGTGTGTGTGGGTGGGCAACACTGAAGGAACTCCTTGGCAAGGAATGACATACCGACAGTCCGGACTGTCTCCTTGCGTTTTGCGACACCAGTTGTCGAGCTGACATTACTTGTCAGGATTTACATAGGTTTCCTCTATTCCGTGGCGATGCCCGGGGCCCAACAAGAAAGCCTTGCTGTCTCTTGTTCCTGGTCGATACCATCCTTCTTGACATGGTTGGTCTTGCCTCGAGACCAGAGTGGTTTTGACTCCATGCCCAGGTGAAATGATTGCTTGCAAATCACTCCCCCGCAACAGTAAACACCCCCTTTTAACAAAAAACAAACAAGTTATATAACCACGACGAGCCTGAACCTACAAAGGAATTCAATTAGTGACATTGAAAGGACTTCCAACCTCCGTTACCCAAACTTGGCAGGACTGACATTTGGTTCTCTTGCTTTGAAGTTTTCCGTCAAGACACAAAAGGACCTTGTAAAGTTGTTTTGTTTAAAGGGTGCAACGGTGCAACTTGCATCTTTCTCGGAAGCGGAGGGCGCCAAACAAAAACACGTTATATAATATGTCGTACACTTGTGTGTATTGCAAGCTTGTCAAGGAAAGCTGTGGCTTGTTCTACTCTGGCATCTTGTGGCTCTTGTTGAAGCACAAGCAAGCCAAGCCCAGGTTTGTGTGAAGCCTTGAAAAAAAACAAACAAAAAAACAAAACACAGACGCACACACACAAATTGGTTGTGGTGGCTGGGCCACCAAAGGTCAGCATAGTCAAGGTATGTCACAGTATTGGTATTATCTTTTTGTCAAACGGGTTCGGAGCGATTATACATCACATGAGTTGAGCTCCTTTGTGACCGCGTGTCTGGGAAAAGGGACATGTTTCCACTCGGGAGGAACGTGGGGTGTGGAAAGATTGAAACGTTGAAACTTTAATTTTAGTCAAAGGATGTCAAAGGAGATGCGTAGCGAGTCAAGAAAACGGGCGGAAAGCGGAAAGCGAGTCAGGAAACTTAGGCTCTGTGGGGAGCCAGATTGAAAGCCAGCTCATATATCATGTCCGTAGTTACTTAAGCCAAGCCTAAACGCGACCCGCAAGCCAAACCAAACGAAATCTAAAAGAAGCCAAGCCCTAAAGCATTCCCAAAGAAATATTGAAGAAACTATTGAAGAACTAAGGTCCTAAACCAATCCCAAAGAGGCCTAAAGAAGTGAAGCCTTGAACATCCTTGAACCCAATCCAAAGAGACCCTACAAAAGCAAACCCTGCGTTCGCCGAACCCAAAGAAACCCTAAAAGCACCTGAAGCCCTAAGTGAAGGCCGAAGCAGTGAAACCCTGCTAGCCAAGAACCCCTAAAGAAGGCGTAATCTGCAAGGTGGGTACCCTGATTCCGGGTTTTGTGGGATTCCTGACTCTGTCAAAAACGGTTTCTTGACTTGATCGAGCCTGTTTCCTGACTCTGGTGTAGGTGTCCTGACTTCGTGTTCTCCAAGTTGTTCATTCAGCGCCCCTTCAAAAACTTCACTTCAAACTTCAATCTGAATCTGCGCCCTGCGGCCCTGCCTCTGTGCAAAGCAGTGCTGGTCGCCGAGCGCAAACCAGCCCAAGAAGAGAGTGCACGATGCTGGCCATTTGCACCAATCTGGTCGTCCAGCAACAGCTGTGGAAAGTCGTCCTTCCAACGTCAAACTGTTGCTCATCATGTGAGGCAAATACGCAATCTTCCCTTCTCCAATCCCTCACACAGAATTCTGGAATCATACAACAGTGTAGATAATTCTGGAATCCTGATTGGAGGGACGCTAGATCTTAGTGCGTCTGCTGGCCACCCATCACTCATGCCTGTGTCCAAGAGGACTTCGCTCTGGCCGCATCAAGTCCATCCTGATGTTGCAAGCCAAGATGGTGCTTCAGGGCAAACGTCGTTGGTCGACCTAGTAAGTAATCGCAAACAACCCGTAAATGAAGCTGCCTAACATGAAGCCTGTTGGTCCATTTTCATGATTATTTTGGGACATTTGTTTATTAGTAAATCACACTCATGTCACCATCATTTCATATATATAGTTTTCCTCGTATACCAACTTGTTTTCTGTGAACATGGAAAAACACAAGAAAGAAAACGGTCAAGGAGGAACTTCGTGTTCTGACTCTATAGACTGGGTTGATAGACTTCAGTATCTCTATGTGTCTCCATGTTTGATGCCCTGTTTATGTTTCTCCATATATATATATATATATGTAGCTATGCATGTACACACAGTAGAACATAAACATTCAATCTCTTCTGGTAAAAAAGAACAGCGCCGTGGCCCTTCCACCGCTTCAGAAACGACTTCGACCAACATTATTGTACCGGTTCATCAGGACCTTGAGAACTGCTTGGGAATCGATGCCTTTGGTCATTCACTAAAATACTGTGATCTTTGCAGATTTGAAAGCCATGCAAATCAGTTCAACCACTGTTGCCATTCTTTTTGTATGTGTTGTGTAATTTCTTCCAGTTTGTCTACTAACCCCTTGGTATGGAGTGGGACCACCAACCACTTACGATTGAAAGGATGATTCAGGGCCCACAATGCACCGAAGGCATGAAACGAATATGAGACCCCAGCCCAGTTGTGTTGGTTCCATGAACTCTCCATGCAAGGGCCTGGACAATCCGCAAAATAAATACTTTGAGTGATCCCACCCTGAGAGGCGGTTTAGAATAAGGCAGGACACATGTATTGACAAACTATTAAAAGTAACGCTGCCTGACATGTGCACTGACGTGTTCTGACACATCGTCTAGCACAAAGGGCGGGACATGTTCTGGACTGCATGGCATTCTGATATCCTTTCTCGCATGCGGTCCTACCGTCAAGCCAGACATGTTTTCTGACATATTCTGGCATGTGCTTCTGGCACAAATCATATTAAATCTATGTGGTCTGAAATGTCTTGCGACAAATGGCAATCTTGTGTTCCGACATTTGTTCTGATATGTCTTCTGACATGTGTTCTGTCACTTGTTCTGACATTTGTTCTGGCATCACTTCTGACATGCGTTCTGGCCTTGCTTCGGCATTTGCCCTACTGCTGCTATTTGCTCTGATATTCACACATTTGTTCTGAAATGTATTCTGATATAAAATCTGACGCCTGTTCTGCCATCAATCAAGTCTGGCATGTGTTCTGGGCCAAAAGTCCACGGTGCACCACTCTGCAGCCCACACCAGCAAAACTCCAGCAAAGCAAGAGGCGGGAAGGAAGGCAGGATGGAAGACGGTGGGTGGGCGATCTAAAATTCAGAGACCCTCGCCTGCCAGGTGGGGAAAACCAAACTCTGTGTAATGCGTGGCCTTGACTGCATTGTACATTGAGTTTGGAGTGGTCCCATCCCCACTACTGAGGTTGGCAAAGGCTCTAACCAAAGAGTTTGCTTGACCCTGTTTTGATACCTGGTGCAAACTGTCTACGGCCAAAGACCTACCAACTGAGCTCCACACCCCCGCAGCGGCAGCAGAAGTAGCGGCTCGGCGGCATCTGGGTGAGACGCGGCGAGTCTGAAAGGGATCCCAATAAGGAGAATTAATATGCAACTATATGTTAGGTACCATCGCACATTTTGAAGGCATTTCATATATATATATATATTACATAATCCATATTAATCAATGCCATTGTGTGACTGCACTGCTGCTGTAATAGCTGCAGCTAAAGCTGAAGTATCCTGTAGAAATTGCAATTGTTTCAATTGAATTCTACAGTTTGGGCAGCGACAAAGCCTGTTGCCACAGTTCAGTGGCTTACCAGGCCAAACGGCCAGGCCCAGCAGCACCCATTTGCCGAAAAACAAAAAAACAGTTTCTTCTAGGTTGCCTGAAATGGTGCAGAGGTACTCAAAATCGGAATCCTGGTCACTGTGGATCTCCTCAACATCGGAATCTTGCCTCTATGAATGCAAGTCCTAAACAGGCAAGATCTGAAGACTTCTGAAGGTCTGGAAGTGCTTCTCTCCTGCTACAAGGTGTTGATAAATCAAGGCCTGCATCTTTCTCTGAATCGTCTTGAAACTCCTGGCAGTGTCGGGCAGTCTCCCGAATCAACCATGCGGTGATTGAACCTGCTTACCACATCTTCCTCTTGAATGCCCAAGCCACCCGCCGACGCACCAGGCCCGGCAGGCACTTAGAGATTGGCTGCGCAAGGCAAACATCCACAAGCCAGGCACGCGCCAGCATGAGACGCAAATGCAGGAGACGCTCTTTGGAGTCTCCGCAGCATGTGTTGGTGTGCACTAGGCAGTTGTGGCTCCAGACCACAGGACTTGTAGTCACACAGGGTAAGTGAAGGGTGGACCATTTAAGACTGGCAGAATCATCTTAAACAACTGGCCACTCAGAAGGTCTACTTTCCAAGGCTACTGCAGACTGCATCTGAAGCACAAAGGAGGCTGGCCTGCTAACTACGGTTCTCTGCCTTTTCTTTTGCTCCGAATGCTTCATGCAGCTATATTGATGAGAGGCATTCACACAGGTTCTCTGATGGACTGGGTCGTTACACGCTGGAATGTCCAAAGAGGAACCTTAGACAGGAAAGGACAACCACCCCTAGAAAACCATCCAGGGCACTTTTGTCTCAGAAAAGCCACGTCACACCATGTCAGACCACCTTCCCTGAACTTGTGACAACTTGGGGTGCAAGAATCCCAAGACTCCTCTCCTTGAAGTAGCCTTCTATCTATGCAAAGCAAAGGGCTGAGAGCTAGATTTGGATAGCTCTCTTCAAGAAATGTTCCTTGAACTGCAAACTTTTGTGCAAGAACTGGAGCTGTGGCCGAGCTACGTCTCTCCACGAGACCACAGGGGAAAACACAATGAACAACCACCACACAAGGTCCTGGCTTTTATCCACTCGCTTTGCTTTCATAGTATTACAACCGTACCTTACCCTTTGCTCTTCACTTTTCTCGGAACATGGAACTTGTCATGATTCCTGCGGTGTTAAAACCATAAGTGGCAACTGTTCCTGTGTCAACTCTATGGTCGAATCGAGTCGAATGTATATTTACTTCCGAAGTGAAGCAGCAGTGAGCAAATCTTCACAATGACCCCCCGAGAAGACGGCATCCTAAAGACAGCCAGCGCTACATCTTGCCAACAAAAATAAACGTCTATAGACTGTCTATAGACAACTCTATTCTAGACATCTAGCCAAAAACCAAGGACAGCTTTCAATACCTATCCGCCACCCAACGAGCTGAACTTTCGCCGGCACCGCCGTGCCCAGCACAGGCACCACAGGCACCACGCGTGAGACGCCGTCGGGAGAGGGCGGATCTGGACCCTGAAGAGGTGGACGGGAATCGGAAATCGATCCATTCAGGATGTTTCGGCCCAGGGTTAGCTGAAGGACTTGGGAGATTTGAAGGAGTGACCCGGAAAACATCAGGAAAAGTACATCGGAAATACGATTGAACATTGTTCACTGTATAGCTTAGGCCCAACGAAAAGGCATTGAAGTGCGATTTCTCAATTGGGTTTCTTGGTGGTCACGGTGGTCTCAAGGTCGCCTAACACAACGCTTGCAAACGCTACGTATAGTAACCAAATGTAACCAGTAATAGCTCCCAAATTGCCAAAATGCGATCGGGATCTGAGTTCGTTTGCTCCCTTTCAAACATTGAATGGGACTGTCGGACTGGTCAAGCTTCATCAAACTTGGTTACTTATGATGGCTCTGTCAAGATTTGAACATTAATTAAGGAACGTTTATATTCGAGGCAGTCCCTTTCAGCAGTGCCTTGAGGCAGTCCCGTCTTCCCGTCACCCGACAGCTGGCACCTGCGGGGAAGGCGAAGCTGGTGAAGCCTCGGGGCGAGCCACACACGCTGGCACTGTGGGTCCGGCCACTCGCAGCTCTGGTGGAAACCCGGTTGGCCAAGGAAGGGATATTCAGAACCAAACATGAAAACCAGAGCTTAGAAGATCAAACTGCAAACCTGCCAAATGTTCAAGTCATCCAGCACCCCAACGTCAAGCAATCTGTTCAACTTGTTCGGTCTTCCACAGCGAACTATATAAACTGCCTCACTTCACAAGAAGAAAACCTATGCTCTCCAAGCTGCAGAGACCGCAGAATCTGGAGATGCCTGCAGGACAGCCTGGAATCAAAGAAGAACTCTAGTGTTCCTCCGTCTAAACAGAGACAAAGCTTCAATCTGATGAGGAAAATTAACACTAGACAAAGGATACGATATACACTCTGACGAACACATCACATGGAAGTGCAAAATGGTCCCTTGGAAGAGTACTTCCCTTTACAAACAGGGGGTTTTCCACTTCCATGCGAGTGAGTCGGAGTGTACGGTCTCCTTCGCATCTGTGCGCGGGCTACGAGCGAAGGCGAAGAGGGGCCTTGGTCTTCCGCCTCTTCCGTGGTGCCTCCTTGGATGAGGGACTTCATGAAGCATAGAAAACCCATGAACACCCGAACACCCTATAGTTTGTCAAGAAAGATTGTCATTGCGGTCCATCTTAAGTTTTGTGTGCGCTTTCGGAACATAAAAAATGGAGAGGAGATTCACACGTACATGAAAAACACTCTCAGCTGATTGAGGATGCTAAGAAGGGGAGGAGCCCTACAATGCAGCCATTCGTGTCATTTTCAGTTGATCCATCCATTCGGTCATTCAAGGACTTATCAGCCTGGGACAGCTTGTGCTAGAAAGCACATGAAACCACTGCAACAACCATGCATTGTCAAACGGTGTGAAACTGCTACGATATCATATCAAGTGTTGCAGGTTAACTTATATTGTTTTGAAAGATCAAGAACAACCTGATGAACTCCCATGATTTTGAATGCCCGACAAGCACGTGTAAGCTGTGTCGAACTGGTTGAACTGACCCTCTCCTCCAGGACATCAATGGCGTCATCCACCAAATCCAACGAGGGCGCGACCGCCTCCCGTGGTTTGACGTGGGGATCACCACTTACGGCCACAGGGGAGGTCACTTGTTGATGCGGAGTGACTCTTGCCCTCTCAAGCACAATGGACGCACATCCTCTCTACTGGTACTTCTACTCCACGAAAAAAAAAAGGGCTGTGACTCTAAAATGCTTCACACCAAGTTAGTGCGATGAATCACAACTTGCTCAGGAAGGGAAGAAAAGGAAGATCATTGTGCAGGAAGAGTGAGGATACAACTCAACGTTGGTGTTCGGAAGACAAATAAGGGAATGGAAAAATACTATGTTGGTGTTGGGAAGATACAATCTTGTTGTTGGTGGTGTGATGTTGGTAGTCCACGCAAAGTGTATCTTATATTTCTTGGACTTGTCGCAGGCGGCCTTCCCATCCCACAACATCCCATAACCAAACCACTAATGTTCACTGGCATGCCCCCATCCAAAAATGTTGTGGAACACATAAAGTATATATATATATATATTTCGTGTGTGTGTGTGACCGGTATGTGTAATACCATGTAATACATCGTGATATCTGATACGACATGCCAATTCAAAATAGTTTCCTTTTCCCAATGACCTGGTCATTCATCTTGAAACAATGATACCTGATACATGACCCCATCGTCGCGGAAAGACTCAGAGGCGAACCGCAGGATCGAATCGCATTTTAGTGGACGAACCGCAGCTACTCAGCGAGATTCACAGCCTGCCTGTCGGTGTGCTGCTACTTGCCTGTCGGTCCAAAGGCGAGCCTTCCTCCTGGTGTAGAACCGGCAGCGTCCGTGTTGAGGTTTCAGTCGTGAGGAGGCTGCGTGCACCTCGAGCTGGACATTGAGTGAGGATTCACTCCCGCCTTCCAGAGCTTGGTGAGAAGGCCATGTGAGGGGAGGCATCTGCCAGTGTCATTTATGTCAAGGAATACGAAGAGTAGGACGCGCTGGAGAAGAAGATTGAGGCAGCCAACACCAAGACTGCACCTGTTGAGACCGTTGACAGCAAAGCTCCAGCTTCAGCAAGACCTGCACCGCCAAGGCTGGTACAGCTGGACTGTATTCTCGCAGGTCCCGTGCACCCATTCCCGTTCGCAGCCCTGGTGGCTTGGAGTTCCACTGCCCGAGAAGACCGACTCACGGCAGTTCCGGGTCTCAAAGCCACAGGCATAGGAGAGGTCGTGGAAGATGTTCCGCCGAAGTCCTTGGCCAGAAAGTAATCGAGTACCAATCCCTCCAAGGCCAGTCGAGTACCGAGGTGTCCTCGACCAATCCTTGAGTCTTTGACTTTCGGGCAGGAATAAAGAACGATCCAACATACATTGTCGAGCCGCAGCTACTCGGTTCTAGCTCCCACCCTCCCTCTTTGTTTGGAGGAAATAACCCCTGAGGAACTCATTTGAAGCGGTCTGTGGAGAACACAAGTTTTGTGTGCAGCAGATTGCTTGGTGGTACGAGGGGCGCCCTTCCAGGGTTGAGCGTCGTGCTTCTTTACAAGGGACTCACTAAGGGACTCCTAGAGACACGACACCCGAACTGTTTGAATATTTTGACACATCGGCATGCACCGGAAAGCACATTGCGGACGAGTCTCGTTCTATTTGTATGGTTATATATGTATCTTTCGCGAACCCATGGCAAGGCAGCACCAAGCATGCCCTGTTGCAATTGGAAGTCGACACAACATGGCAGGGAGAGTCCGTCGGGTAGGGGATTGGCCTTTTGCACCAATGTCACTTAAGCACCTGTTCCATGGAGAAGTGTCTTGGTTTGAAAGCCACTCGTTTCCAATACCTCGCCTATCAACCCTTCTTCAAGCACCGAGCCTCGACATCATCGACATCATCGACATCCTCCTGCTCTACAACCTGAGAAACAGCAGCTTTGTTTAAAACCATAGACCACTGTCGATGGCCCACCCCCCAAGCATCAAAGAGCAACAACTCTCTATACTTAAAAAACAAGATAACAAGTTGTTGCTTTGGTCTTCACGTTCTCCGTGACATGGGGCGGCTGCACGTCACCGGGACTGGCGTCACCGGGGCTCCGGGCGATGCCGTTCTTGGCGTCTTCAAGCGCCTGGACCAGGAATCGATTCTGGTTGACATGGATGTACGTACCCAAAACAAAAAATCTGCCAACCAAGCTCCAAAAGGCTCTGCAGAATCTTTTTCTCTCAGGAGCTTGGTATAGTGCTTGGGTGCTCTGACCCCTGTCTGTTCTCACCAAAAGATGCAAGTTGAAGTCAAAATAGGGTGTGACAGGCAGATTCTCTCGCCCGTGCATGGTACACCCCGTCTGGCCCCCTCAGGGCCAAAGGTGCTGGGTAGGGGGCCAGGGCCTCAGTCAGAAAAGGCATCTGCCGCCAAGGCGGGGTGCTATGGAAAATGCAAAAAGGTCAGTAGGCATCTCCAATCGCAGAGCTGCATCAAAGCCCTGGAAGTCAGGATGGGCGGATGAACTCACTTCATCCGCCCAGGTGTTGTACTCATGTGGTATATGGCTGGGAGCCACACTACAACCTTCACGGTGCAACAGGCCACTGTGTGAGGCTTCTCGAAGAGAGGTTCAGGAGGCTCAAGACGTTGCCAGAGCTGTTACTGCCAACCGGTAGGCGAAGGCGTCCAGGAACATCACCCTCAGGCGCAGCAAGTGACGGCAAAGCAGAAGGGTCCCCAGCAGTTCCAGGGCCGCGATGCGCTTGTGAGGGCTTCTATTCCTGAACGCCCAGGGTGTGTAGCAGGGTCCCGGTGGGACATTTTGGTAACTTTTGTGAACATAAAACTTGCAAACGCAAGCTAAATGCAAGTGTGAATTTGATGTTTTGAGGATGATGTGTGTTCCATGGTTTGCTGATACCCCTGCTGGTCATTCACCGTATCATTTGTGAGTCTGACATAGTCTGACTATTTCAGGTCTCTACTTTCAAGAACATGCAACATGTGTTTTAAAAGTGCGGCCCACGAGCGACCAGGTGGACCAAAATCTGCAACATCAACCAAGGCTCTGCGTCATGTTCTTGAAGAATGTTAAAAGAACACTTTGTCGACCCGGTAAATCCCTGCAGTTCAACCAATGGATGTCCTTTCTGTGCTCAAAGCTTCATTGTCCGACCATTCAGAACCTGAGGCCCCCAGAGCCTTCTTCCTTGCTTCCGCGCGCCGCTTTCGCTCGGCACGTGCCTCGCAGAGAAAAAATGCAGGAGCATGGTCAAAGAAATGGGCCGAAAAGGTGCGGTTTGGATCTTGTGCTTAGGAGGTGGCACTTATCTATGCCAAGATTCGAATCTTACGCCTTTTGGGCCCAATTTAGGGCCTAGAAGGTCACAGTAGGACCTCCTGTCGACCAGTTTCTCTGGTGACGGACCCTTGAGGCGCGCTAGTAACTCTACACAGTAGACAGGAAGGTAACTTGTGAATATAAATGAGGTGTTGAGATGAGTAACTGAGCTGGCCTTTCTCGGCCCACAAAGGAATGATACACGCACTTCACTGGAAACCAAAACACATGTAAACTGTAAACACCAAATGGGCGATCGATTGGTTTTAAAGGTATCACCATCCTGAAGTTGTCAAACAAAAATGCTGCCACAGTTGACCAGTCCAAACAAACTTTATAACCTTTATGTGGTTACACATACACCCGTGAAGCTCGCATGGACACAAACGACCACATGGTTCGAAGAGTTTTCAAGGGAGTACTATTAGCAGGTTCTGTCCAGCATGTTCAGGCGAAGAAAATAAGAAGTGAACGCTCGTGCACCTTGGCGGCTTCCACCTCTCTCTCTGCACGCTCCTGAGGTGGATCATACCCAACAGATGAAAACCAAATGAGATCACTCACGCACGATCTGCCGGGTCGATCGAAGGGTTTCCCGTGTTTCCCTAGTACAGGTTGGGCAGCTTGGTGAATGCTGATTGACAAATCATGTCCGTCCAGGACTTCTGCAGCGGAACCAACATCTTTCCCTTCAGAAGTCTGGACTCTTCTGCTCGGAGGAAGTAGAGTACATCAAATCGTATTTGTGCTGGTCATTTCGCATGATCAATGAGGTGAAAACTTTCATTCGGGGTCCAAGTGCAACCATCTGGGTCCTGGGTAGCTACACCACACAAGTCAGGTCTCGCGCTACTTAAGGCAACTGTCCGTCTGTTTCGAACAGAGAACATCAAACCTCCAGGATTTTGGCGAGGTGAAACTTCCTTCATCCTGGATTGACCGAAAGAACGCTGGCCGCTGAAGATCTCCATTCTCCTTGGCCAAGCGCTCCGCGCGAGCTTTCTCTTTGGCCTCGGCAAAGATGGCAAGTGGTCATGGCCCTCTGCTATGGCGCTAGGATGGTGAAATGTCCTTTAGGCAACACGATTTGCTTGAAACTCGGAATTCTTACAGCCGTCAACTGCAGATCTTTCTAGGCATCAGACCATCTGCCTCTCTCTCCTGCGAAGCAAGTAAGTGTAAACACCTGTAAAGCCGTGTCGATCCAATCCTTTTCTTGATCAACATGGCTTCAATGGTCCTTAGAATGTATCGACTGCACAAGACTGAGCGACCAAATGGACAACTCCCCATCATTTGGTCTGCAACACAAGCGAACACAAGTATCACATTCTCAAAACAGTACGCCGTAGAACGGGGCGGCAGGGCGAGGCCACTCAGGAGCCAAGGGAGGGAAGCGAGAGGATGGGGATAAAATTATCGGATAAAATCACTAATTTTCTCGACACCCATCTCCAACAAAAAATCCGACGGAGTCTTTGACGATCACATGGAACTTCAGTTATACGTTTGGTGGAACCATGAGAACCAACGTCATCTTCGTCGGCTCCTCGCGACCTTCTCCTGCTCTGCAGCCTCTTCACGCTCCCGTTCCTGGCCCGGTGTGGCTGGAACAGTTGCAATCAAATGAAGCAAGCTTGGGACATGAAGTTTTCTGGCATGCAGGACAGAACAGCATACCAAATCTAGCCCTGATCCATCATTCACGATCCATAATTCACGATCGACATCACCCACATCAACAAGTACAATAGCCGTAGTCGTAGTTACCCTTAACAACCAGCAACATCAGTTCAAAAACTGTGCGACTGTGCAAGAAAAAAAGGCATATGGATATTATATAGTGTTCATTGAACATTACAAACTGAATTCCAGGTAGCCTTTCACCGAACTACAAAGTAGTGAAGAACAACGTCGGACGATTGTCCCTTGGTCGCAGGGAAAATCCACACATCACCGCGCGTCACCGCGCCGAGCTCGACCGCCTCCTGCTCTCGTGCCTCACGCTCTGCACGTTCCCGGGCTTTGCGCTCCTCCTCCTGCGCGTTCGTGAGGCTGGTTGATCTGTGGAGAAAGGAATGAACGTCGACCTTTCATCCGATACCTAGACAATCCCAAGCCATCAACAAGTTGGCAGGTTCCAAAAACACTGAAACAAAAGTGCACAAGCTTAGTTCAAGATGCTTGAGTCTAAAAAACACCGACCAAAATCACTGCGAGATTCAAACCAAACCGGCGGAACATGGTGGAAGATGGTGGAACATTGTACCAACAAGCTCGATTCACATCTTAACTGGCAGAAATATAGGTAAACCATGGTAAACCGTTCATTTGGCAACGGAACTGATCCAACCAGCTTGGCTTTGGCTTTGTCTTGGCGTGGGAAACCCATTTTCTAAGCCGGTCCTTCTTCTTCTTCGTCCTGACCCGAGGCTTTCCAGTCCCTGGAGGTCCCAAACTGAGACTCTCCCGCAGCTGTGCATAGGTCTGGCCGGTGCGATCGGATCGCAGGATCGGGTGACCTAGAAACACATGTTAAAAAAACGAACAAAAGCCAACACACGTGTTTAAACGCCAACAAAAACGTTTAGTGTTTCATTGAGTGTTGGCTTTAACTCATAGTCATAGTGTCTTGGCAGTCTTGGCTGTTTAAGCCAAGAAAGAATAAGCAACAGTTGAGAACAAAAGGGGTGAGCTCCTGTGGACTGAAGAATACCGAAGGCCATCGATCTTTGCAAAAAACGAGGCTTCCCCTCTCTTCTGCGGAACATGCACAACTTGAGGCAAAAGGGGCAGACTAGCGTCAGCATGCCCCAAACTCGGGAAGTACAGTTGACATATAGTTAGTAATACATAATATAGTTGACACAAAGTAAACCTCTTGTCAACATG